CTTAGTGTAAGAATATGAACGACCAAAATTTGATGCTAAAAATCAGCCTTAACAGTACTTCTATTGGGTAGCGGCTAAAAAAGATGGAAACTTTTTTTTTTAATGTCAAAGTTGGTAACAACCTGTCGCGCTTTTGGCTGTACAGGTAGCGCAGGTGGTCCTTGACTTACAACCATTCATTTAGTGACCATTCGAAGTGACAGTGTCGCTGAGAAAAATGATTTAGGACTGATCCTCTCCACACATGCCACTGTTGCAACATCCTCAGAACCTGTTTCTTCTCTTGCATTATGAAACCATTCCGCAGCTTCATTACAGATAGTCCTTAACTTACAACAGTTCATTTAGTAACCGTTCAAAGTTACAACAGCATTGAAAAAAAGTGACTTATGAAATATTTTTCACAGTTGTGACCGTTGTAGCATCCCCATGGTCATGTGATCAAAATGTGGACGCTTGGCAAAGGACTCACATTTCTGACGGTCGCAGTGTCACATGATCCTCTTTTGCGCCCTTCTGATGAGTAAAGTCAATGGGGAAGCCAGATTCACTTAACAACCAAGTTAACTAACTTAAACAATTGTGTGTAAATTAAATTCCTGGGAGTCCATCTCAGCGAAGACCTCGCCTGGAAAATCAACACGACCCAGGTGGCCAGGAAGGCACTACAGAGACTCCACTTCCTCAGGGTCTTGCGAAAAAGTAAAGTGGAACATCAACCGATGACCTCCTTTTACTGGCCCACAACAGAAAGCGTTCTCACTCATACCACGGTGTGGTAGGCTGCCTTGATAGCCATGGATTGAAAGGCACTACAGAGGGTGGTGAGCCCAGCACAAAACATCGTGGGTTGACACCACTAGACAACATCGCTAGGGCTCGCTGCCTTAGAAGAGTGAGGAAAATTCTCAGGGACGATTCACACCCTGGTTGGCTCTTCTTTATTCTCCTACCATCTGGAAGGAGTTATAGAAGCATAGACAGCCACAGAAACAGGCTGAAGAACAGTTCGGGGACTGGAAACTAAAACATATAAAGAACGGTTGCAGGAACTGGGTATGTTTAGTTTAGGGAAAAGAAGGACTAGGGGTGACATGATAGCAGTATTCCAAAATCTCAGGGGTTGCCACAAAGAAGAGGGAGTCAAACTATTCTCCAAGGCACCTGAATGTAGAACATGAAGCAATGGGTGGAAACTAATCAAGGAGAGAAGCAACTTAGAACTGAGGAAAC